ACACTCAAAGGAGCCGAGGGTCAGAGGAGCGGGGCCATTTGCCGCGGGCACCATGGACAGCGGCTGGGTCCAGCCTCACGCTCGGCGAAGGGCAAGGCTGTCAATCAGTTTCTAGGAAGAACACTGTCTTCAGGCTTTGGAGGGCTGGGACCTCTTGACCCAGTGTTATGTAAATATCCTTTCCTCTGAGGTCGCATGAGCGTATCCTGCTATGTGTCTGGATGATGTGTTTGCCTGTCTAAGCTCCTTAAGGACAGGTGACTGTCATCTTGTTTATCTGCCGTATCTCATGTCTAGGACAGTTCTGGGGTAGACCAGGACACAGTGAGTAGTTAACAAATGGCTAAATAATAAATCCCAACTTGATGTTATGTCTGCCTTATACTCGTTCATCATCTATGATTTACATATTTTATCTGTGGATCTGAAAAGATGGCTCAGTGGTTAAGAGTATTTGAAGCTCTTGCAGAGGACCCGGGTTCAGTTCCCAACATCCATGTCAGGAGGATTACCACCCGCTGCCTGTAATTCTGGTTCAGGGGACCTGGCACCTTCCTGTAGCCTCTGTGAATTTCTATATACATATAGTGTACAGTCACATGAATACACACGCACACACACGTACACACGCATACACACACACACACACACACACACACACACACACACACGCACGCACGCACGCACACACGTAAAATGTGTCTGTGGGTGCATGCAGGCCTTGGTATGCACATGAATGTCAGAGGACAACTTTGTATGCTTGGTTCTCTCCTGCCACTGTTTACATGGGTTCTGGGGATCAAATCCAGATTGTCAGGCTTATGTGGCAAAAGCCTTTATCCACTGAGCCGTCTTGCTAGCTGTCTACATTCCAGAATGATGCTCCATCGTTTTAGCGTAAGGGCTAGATGGGATGTTGCTCGATTTTATTGAGAGATGTTTCCATACGTTCATCTCAGTGAGTCACGGCCGAGGCTAGGTGTGGGTCTGGAAAGCCTTGCTGTGGGCCTAGGATCCAAAGGCTGGACACAGGCAGCTGGGGACCCACAGCGTGAGCAGGGACTGTCCTGTAAACTGAGGAAGAACAAAAGGACGTTCCCTAACCAGGCCACCGGTAGCTTTGATGTAAGAGAGCAGGGAAAGAGATGGGGGACAAGCAGACAGGCCACCAAAACCAAGGGGCTTGTCCTGGGCAGGGAAACTTGGAGGTCGGTGGAAGGGAAATGAAAATGTTCGAAGGTCTCTGCTAGACCAGGTCTCCTCTGGTCACTTACATGATCTGCAAGGGCATTTCTTATAGAAAAGGGAAGTGTGCATGCATGTGTGTGATATGTGTTATATATGTGTATTTGTGGTATGTTTGATGTGCGTCTGTGATATATGCAGTAAGTGTGATGGGTGCTGTGTATGGTATATATATATATATATGTGGTGAATGTACATTTGTGTGTTGCATTTGTGGTGTGTGGTGGGGTGGTATACATGTATGGTGTATGGTATGTATGTAGGGGAGGCTGGTGGTACTTGTTTATGATATGGGGGACTTCGGGTGTGTGATGGTAGTGTGTGTACATATGTTTATGTATGTATGTGTATGTTCTGAGGAATACAGTTTATTCCTGCTTCAGCATTACCATTGTCCCCTAGCTGAAGGACTTATTTAGTCTTGCTCTCTAAATAAATTAATGACCCCTTCCAGACCACCAAATTAGTGTCTTATTGGCATCTGGCTTTGTGTGTTTACCTCATCTGTGCCCACAGCCCTGCCTTTTGTGACTCAACATTCAGTCACTGTCCCTACTGTTTGGGATTGTGGTGTGTGTGTGTGTGTGTGTGTGTGTGTGTGTGTGTGTGTGTGTGTGTTTTCAGCCTCAGGCAAACTTACTGAGAACTTTGGGGGACAAGGGTTGGAGGATCTGGGACCACAGCCAGATCAGCCTTGTTGCTTCTAAGTAAGGAATTCTAGGACATCAGAGGAGCTATGTGAAGGAGAGATTTCATCACACACCCCAAAGTTAGTCACATGACCCCTTTGGGGGTACGATCAGAGAGCCGCACAGGTCTGTCACATGGGTGTGGGCTCTGAAGTGTTCCCTGGTCTCCAACTCTGACAGAAAGTCTTGTCACATCCCTAAGTGCTGTCAGACCCGTCTGCAAACACTTTTTGTTTCTTCCTCCTGGAGGACTCTGGCTCCAGTCCCGCCAGAGATGGACCCTTGCTGGTGGCTTCTGGCGGCTTATCTGGGTGTGACTAAATTCGAACTGGAGCTTGTGTTGGCCCCTGACCGATCTCTGAAGAGCAAATGGGGCCCTGGCACCCATTCTGAGGCTCCTGGGACCGTTCCCTCTAACCTGCCATGAACTGGGGCTAAATTTGGAACACCAACAAAAACACTGTGAAGATTCTATTCAACCACAACAAAAAGAGAGTCCCGTTTCCCCAAAAGAGATGGTAGAAGGGGGTCACAACTCGAAAGTGGTCCAGTTGGTTCTAGAAGATGGAGGAATCGCTTTCTGTGTAAAGTCTGGGGCAGTGGGCAGAGCCCGGGTCTAAGCCCAGGTCCCAGTAAATAGGGGCTTTGGAAAGTGACTAGGCTACAACATCAGAGGTTAGTTAGGCCAGCTCATCTCTCATGTGCCATCTGCCTACAGTCTGGTGACCGTATGACAGTCACTTCATATGAATAGGCAGTTTTATTCCCACGGGACTCATCTTCCCCATGCCTGGCCACTGGATCTCAGTGACATGGACGTGAACTCCCCCGTAGAGTGAGTGATCCCATGGAAAGAGAAACTCCTGAATCCCAGAAGTAGAACCCAGACCCCGCCACCTGGAGAGGAAGAAGTTGGGAGATGCTGATTTTGTGGTAGCCTGTGATATGACCTAAGGATTGACTCACTTGATTTGATTAATCCACATTCCTTAAAAATGGGGCTAGGATATGGCTCAGTGGCAGAGTACCAGCCCCGCATGTGTGGTGTCCTAAAGTTCAGACTTCAGCACAGAAAAAAAAAAAATCATTAAGAACTAAAGAGGTAGAGTAACGGATTCATTTTGTGGCAGAGCAAGACCTTGACCTGAGTCCATGGAGCCTGAGATCTGGTCCACCCCTACACCTTGGACAGGAGGAGAGGGGACTGGGCGTGACCTTTCTTCCTCAGAAACGTGACATAGGAGCGAGTTTCTGCCTGGAGCTGGCTCTGTCCCACCCATGAGTGGCTAGAAAATGAGTTAAGACTCTGCCCTCTTAAAACCTCACACGCTTTATCAATTCCAACACATAAAACGTGGAGGGACACTCACGCTGCATCTGAACCCTGTCAGGAGGCGAGCGTGATGTGGGGGGAGGCGGAGCAGGCTTTGATCTGCCGGGGAGCAGGAGGGAAGGTCTGACCTGATGCCCTGGTCTTGGCATCTTTTTTTTTTTTTTTTTTTTTTTTTTGGTTTTTCGAGACAGGGTTTCTCTGTGTAGCTTTGCGCCTTTCCTGGGACTCACTTGGTAGTCCAGGCTGGCCTCGAACTCACAGAGATCCACCTGGCTCTGCCTCCCGAGTGCTGGGATTAAAGGCGTGCGCCACCACCGCCCGGCTGTCTTGGCATCTTTTGTGTGTTCCTGTTTAGTGACTTCGTTACAAGTGTCAGGGTCTCCAGATCGCCCCTCTGCCACCACTCCCGGAGGTGAAAGTAGCCTTTCTCGCTGTCACATGGCACGTGGGTCTCTAGGAGACCAAATCCTTTATAAACTTTAACTCTTCAATGCTGTACTGATAGCATGACAGATGCAATGTGCTGTCCCTTCCACGGCCAAAATAAATGCTATTTCGGACATGTGGGGCTTAAAGGGAGTGGGGAGATGTCAGGTAGGGGCAGGGTCACTCTAGGGACAACTTGGACTGCGGGAAGGAGGCTGGCCAGGGAGGATCCACTTTCAGAAAGATAACGTGTTCTGGTTCCATCTCTCTCATCAGGGAGATCCCTCACTGTCGGGGAGACTTAGCAGCCCTGGAGTTTTGAGACTCCAGTCTAGATTCCGGGGAAGGACAGCAGCAGCAAAGACAACCTTCTTCATTGTCTTTCCCAGAATAAAAGACGTGACGGTGTGCCCAGAGGGGGCTCTGAGTGGTTGAGACGTACTGAGAAAATCCTGGAGATAAAAGCACATCCCAGAAGGCACCTCCAGGATCCAGCCCTGGTTCTGCCTGAAGAGGCTGCTGGCCTCTACAGCCTTCCCTCTGGGCCTCAGCTTGAATATTTATAAAAGTGTTCACTCCATGGCCCCCAGCTCAAATCTATAAATAAAGTTTTATTGGGACACATTCAGGCCCTGTGCTTTACATATTGCCGGATGGCTGCTTGTTGTAATTTGAATCTGAAATGCCCCCCCACACACACACACAAGGTCATATTTTGAATGTTCCCCGATAGTAGTGCCATTTTGTGAAGAACCCTTGGTCCTGCTCCACCTTACCATGACTCTGTTGAGTCTCTGACTCAATGGATGGCGAATCTTTAAAAGTATGAGCCAGGATTAACCCTTTAGGTCCTCACACGCTCTGTTCTTCTCGCAGACCACCCCGAGAGAGCCGCCCTGCTGTTTGTGTCCAGTGTCTGCATCGGCCTGGTCTTCACGCTGTGCGCCCTGGTCATCAGAGTGTCCTGTACCAAGGACTTCCGGGAGCTGAGGCAGGGGAGGGAGCACCTGGTGCTAGGGAGTGAGAAGGCTGAGGAGGACAGCGGGGAGGAGGAGGAAGAGGAGGACTCCTCAGACTCCGAGTTCCCTGTGGAACTGTCCAGGTTTTGTAGGACTTCGTATCCGGCCTACAGCTCCATAGAGGCCGCTGAGCTGGCAGAAAGGATCGAGCGCAGGGAGCAAATCATTCAGGAAATATGGATGAACAGTGGCCTGGACTCCTCACTTCCAAGGAACATGGGCCATTTCTACTGAAAACCAGAGGCTCCTGGAGGAGACCACACTTTCTGAAGAGGGAAGGGTCCAGAACGCCGTCTCCCCACTCCCTCGAGTTCTGGTTCACTTGTACCTTCTATGAAGGAGACTCTGTCGTGTCAGCCGAGACGAGACGATGAAGCCGGAAATTCGTCAAAGGGACGTCTCACACCGTTTACAGCACACCCTGGAATAAATTGGGAGGAAGAAGACTTGGCGTCCTGTACTTGTTTGAATTCATGTCTCTGCATTAATAACTCTACACATAATTGAGATTCACATTGACTCAGCACTAATAATACCAGGTGCTGGTTCATAAATATTCAGGAGCTGGTACAAGGATGAGTTGAGTAGACAGGGGACCCACAGAAATTCATTAAAAATGGCCATGATGGGAAGCGGAGAGATGCTCAGTGGGTAAAAGGTGACTATTGCCAAGTCTGAAGACCTGAGTTCAATCCCCAGATCCTACAGTGTGGAAGGAGAGAACCGACTCCTGCCAGTTGTCCTCTGACCTCCTCACATGTGCCCTGATGGGCACGCACCACATGTACGCACACACCACACACACACACACACACACACACACACACACACACACACACACACACACGTGAG